TATATATATATATATATATATATATATATATATATATATATATATATGTATAATTTTTTACAAGCATGTAGATGTTTAACAACCCGTTAAAATGCAGGAAGTCACATCTACTTTATTCAAAATGTTCTGGAGAAGGACCCCCAACCCAGCACCTTCTCCCAGCCTGCATGCTATTTGTGCTCCAGAATTGATCAGTTTGCTAATTCGGCCGTTACTTGGTCTGACTACTGCTGTTCTGATTCTGTGCAGTTTTATGTAAAGAGTTTTCTGTAATAATTTGAAGAAGTGTCAATACATTCATTATTATTGAATATGTAAAGTTTTAAAGTGGTTTTTCATGCTGTTAATTTTCTCAAAACTGTAATTTTGGGAAGTTGAAATTAAAAACGTTGCTAATTAAGTGTGTCTTGAATGAAAAACACCCCATTTAAAAAGGTATAAATATTGTACTAACACTATTAAAAAACAGGTCTCAAGTATTTACGATACACAAATATTTCCATTGCATTAAAGAGACAAATTAAAGAAAATTATTTACTAAACATGAAGGTTATGAGGAGGTCCCTGAACCTTTTTCTTCCCTGTAAAGGGTCCCTGAACCCCAAAAGTTTGAGACCCCCTGCTCTATAGGAGGGAAAACTAAAGAATAAAACCAGAACATTAGGCAGAGGAGTGAACGTTTTGTTTATAGTTTTCAGTCTGTACATATTGTGACCAAATGCTCCTAATTTATAGAAAGCAAGATCTGAACTAATAATCTAATCTCAGTCAAATTTTTCTCTTTATTCCTCTCACCATCTCTGACTGTTCCACGTAACACCCTCCTCCCCTCACACATGTTCGGTCCTGCGTGTCGTTTGCACAAATATGGCACCGTTTTTTTCCTAACTCCGCATCGGTTCAGATAAAGTTGCTGCACGTGTCAACGTTCCTCCCAAAAAGGACAGTCTGAGCTCTTCTGTGTGAGTAACCATGCCCACACGCCGTCATGTGTGTAGACGTTAACACATGCATGCAGGCTGACATTAAGCACACATGCGCTCACAGCAGATGGTTTAGCGAAGATGCCAGCGAGTTCCTGCTACACTCGGTTCAGCAGACACCATTATAGCAGTGTCTGCAGACGAAAAAGGAAACAAGCCTGAACAAAAATAACGTACACCGGCAAGAATGACAGTTAAACAGTCCTGTCCTTGTCTTCTTGGCCACTTCACAATGAGGTGCATGTTTCTGTGACCGAACGGAGCGAGTGTGTTGCTGAAAACAACCAGGCCAGAAGGAGCCGAATCACAAAACACAAGAGAAATCCACAGACTCCCTGGAGGACATATTTAGGCAGTAATGAGCAGCAGATCTACCATGCTGAAAGAACAGAAGAAGGCAATTACAGATGAACGCCCTTCCAGGTTGTGGCCTGTAGAGATGGATAGATAGTGGAGGTGAAGGAGTGTGTGTGTGTGTGTGCTTGGTGGGGAGGTTAGAGGACTGCAGGACAGAGACAGTGAGACCCATCTGCTGCTGGTTGTGACCAATCTGCTCTCACACACACTATAAAGCCGTATATCAACAGGAAGAGGCCAAAATTAATTAAGCCACGCCCCTTTGTGTGTGAGTGCTGACCTTCTCTTTCCAGTGGAGGATGCCGATGATGACGAGGATGAAGACACACACTCCGATCAGCGCGATGGCCGTCAGCAGCACGCTGTTGCTAGGAGTGAGGTACAGCTTAGCGCTCCAGCTATGAACAGAAAAGGAGCAAATCGATAAATAAAAGTTAAAACAGATTAGAAATTTTGATGTTTTATGAACCACTTCTTTATTTGACAAAAATGCCAAAACATAAAAAAGACCGTGACCTCATCGAGTTCAACTAAAGGAAATTCAGTTTTGTTTTCAGCTGAACATGATGGTTTGAACCTGCTCAGAATTTCTAAGAACTTTTAAACATTTCCATTTATTCAAACGTTTTAATTAAAATCTTTAGGGTTATTTTTTTATGCTTAGATAGGATCAAATAAACATGTGACTGTTTTATATATTACATACTGTATATATAAAATAAAAACTGAGCTAAAAGACTTCTTTCTTAACTTGTCCATTTTTTTCAAAGTTGCCAGCCACAATAGTTCCTCTTCATGTATATATAAAAATATTTACAAAAATGTCAGATACTGATGCAACAGCAGTAAATGTACAAGTGATCAATAAAGCACAAGTTGAAAACTTTTAATTCAAAAGAGAAAACATATTCTATGAAGTCCAGCATATTAGACTGGATCCTCCTGACAGTTCAGCACAGAGGTGTAAGTATGATGATATGGGGCTGTACGAGAAAACAAACATGTCGTGGAAAGAAAATGACGTCCATTTTTCCTTCCTCGGTATAATGCAGCACGTTTTTACATGGCTCGGCTATTTCCTGCTTCATTTCCTGCTGCAGACAGTTTATCAGTGAATGAGGGAAAAAGCTTTGTAAAATCTGGATGATAGTATGTGTCAGGAGAATTTAGGTAAAGGTTTATGGATGTTTGTCACTGCTAAGTTAAAGTAATGTCTGTGTCTGGCTTTATGCAACTTCACAGAACAAACACGTGTATTAGTGCATTTGCTGCTGCAAAGATGACGATTCACTTTGACCAATGAGCAGTGTTTCCACATCACCCTACAGCAGGGCTATTCATCTAAACTGATCAGAGGGCCACAGTTACTGAAATCTAAGAGCTCAGGGCCCAGACATCCAGCAGTTATTCTCATTAAGTCAAGTCAAGTCAAGTCAAGTCATATTTATTTATAGAGCACAATTTTGTTTGACTCATGTTTGGGCTGCTGCTGTTATGCCATATTGTTTTACCTTATTAGTGTTTAGCGTATATCTTAGATCTTTAAGTGTACCGTTTGGTGTTTGTTTAGTGCCTATCTTAGTGTATATCTGAGATCCTTATTTACTGTTTCTTTATACTTTATATTTTGCTATTTTTGGGTGTAAGTGGGACCCTGTGTACATAATTTAGTTCCATCTCATGTACCACATGTCATCGAAATGACAATAAAAATGACTTGAACTTGTTTTACCATCTAAAATGTTATGTTGTTTAATTGTTATATGCAGGTTAACACAAGGTCAACAGTTCAATGAAATGTTCAGGATGAGAAGAACTGTTTTGATTTGCTAAAAACAAAACAAACAAACAACAACAACAACAACAACAACAACAACAACAACAACAACAACAA